TGTTTTCCATGGGATCTTACCTACCAGCCCTCTAAGCTTACCAATATCTGTCTTCCTGAAATCTATTGTCTCTATTTTCCTGTTCTCCCTTCTACCATTCCTTAGAATGGTGAACTCTATGATTTTATGATCACTTTCACCCAAGTTGCCTTCCACTTTAAAATTCTCAACCATTTCCTCCCTATTTGTTAAAATCAAATCTAGAACAGCTTATCCCCAGTAGCTTTTTCAGCCTTCTGAAATAAAAAAATGGTTTTCAATGCAATCCAAGAACTTATTGGATAGTCTATGTCTTTCTGTGTTAGTTTCCCAACATATGTCTGGATAGCTGAAGTCCCCCATCACCACAAAATCCTGTGCTTCGGATGATTATTGGCCGTTATTCTGAAATAACGATGCAAGTTTCTACTAAAAGAAATTTGTCATTTTGAAATAATTTAAGGACTGCTTATTCTGACTTCTGTAAACCTCATTCTATGAAGAATAATGCCTATTCTGAAACTATTTTTAAATAAGGCATGTGTTGATGCTCTACCTCTGCTATTTCGAAATAGCCCCTCATGAGGGCCATTCTAAATTATTCCTCTTGTGCTCTAAACTGAGATAGCACGTCTACATTAGGGAAGCGTGCCTCAGACTCATTTTGTGGCTTTCTTGCAGTGTAGATGTGCTATTTCAAAAACGCTATTTTGGAATAACTATTCCTGAATAGTTCATTCCGAAAGAACTGTGTAGTATAAACATACCCTGAGACACAGAAAAGCTAAGTGACTTGCCCAAATGCATACAGGTCATATGTGGTAGAAAGGGCCCTTTGAACCTACATCCTGTAGGTCCTAGGTTAGCCCCTTAGCTACTGGGCTGTCCAATCACTTCCACACAAACTTATAAGTCCTCTCGAGAGTGCCTCTTTGGCTCATATAACTATGTGCTACACGTTACCATCATTTGAAGTTTCAAGTTAAGTCTCAGTTCAGTCCATAAATGGTGAGGAAAAACAAGAATGAGATGAAAAAAGAGCAGCAGTCATTTGAAGTTCATGATTTATGTATTCATTATTTATTGTAACAATAAGTACTGCACATTTGGAGAGGTCGGAGTGAACGAGAAGGTACGGCAACTATCTACAAGAATTTGGAAAGATTTCTCATTACCAATCCTGAGACAATTCAGGCATTTTTTTTTAAAGTTGCCATCAACAGACATATATATAAAACAGATACAAATATGGTATTTACCTCCTGGGAAATGCAGCCAAACTCAGCCCTCCCCCATACAAAACTAAAAGAAAACAATCTATATCAACAAGGGATGGGGGAAAGAGAATTACCTACAGAATAAACATCTACAGGTTTAAATACATATGAAGTCATGGAATTAGAACTAGCATTAAATTATTCTTTTAAAAATATCAGTGGTCAGCATTTGAATCTCTGTTTCACTAAACTGCTAATCAAGTTAAGATGAATGATTTAGCTGTACATGATTCTGGTTAGTTAAGTACCAGGAATTTATTAAAATATGTCACCTTATTAATAGTTTTGGGGAACTATTAATTCTAAAGAAAAACGGAAGTTTCTGATCTTAAAAACAAGCTAAAATTATGGTTTTCGCATTTAAAGTTGCCTTTGTGATGTAAAATTCTAAAACAAAACAAAACCCACATACAAAGATTTAAAGGGAGTAAAGGTAGAAACTATTAAAACTCATTTTATGATGCAGAGCTACTGCTGCAGAGATGGTAATGGCACTGCAGCTATGTTATTTATTCCAGCTGTTATCACTGCAGAATGATAGAAAACCTAGCAGTAACATTGCTAGATGATATGCTACTTTGCATAATAGAGTCTAAAATTACTTAGTTTTCATCTTTATCAATTGATTTCTATCTGACCCACATTTAGGGCATTTGTTGTATAATTCAAACTATGAAAAGTTGGTTGGAATTGAAAACCAATTAACTAAAACAATTTTGCATGAATTCAAAAGCTTAAAAGACCTGCACTTCCCATCATTCAACATGCCTGAAAGACACAGGCTAAACATAATGGAGTGTTGAAAATAACCCCAATAGCAAATTCTTTTCAAAGTATTTGAAATAATACTAGAAACTGGCGAGGCAAAAATTGCTTCTAATTATGGAGCTGTTTAAAGACTCACAATATCCAAGCTTCCTGGAGGCAAAAGAAAGATTTGGAGTACAATTTTCAAAAAATGCTTAAAGTGACTTAGGAGTCTAAGTCCTGTTTCAGAAAGTGAAAGTCAATTGTCCTTGGGAGCCTAAGTGCCTGGGTCCATTTGGGTGCATCTACAAAGCAGGGCTTAACTCGAAATAAGCTATGCAAATTGAGCTACGTCAGTTGCATAGATTATTTCAAAACAGCATATTTCTAAATTGGGAGCATCTACACAGCACTTACTTTGAAATAAGTCTTCTTCCGACTTCCCTTACAGCACGTACAATGAGGGTTACAGGAATTGGAGTAAGAAGTATTTCGAAATAACTGCCTGCTGTGTAGACGCGGACTAAGTTCTTTCAGAATAGCACTAGTTATTTCAAAATAATGTTGCTGTGTAGACGTACCCTTTCTGAAAATGGGATTTAGGCTTCCCGGTCATGTAGACTCTTCTGAAAATGTTACCTATGATTTTGACCCAGTGATGATATGCTGCTATAGGATCAAGTTTAAAAGAGTTTGTTTACAAAGCAATTAGAGACCCACAACTGGCCTGTGCCATCTGACACTGGCTCACATGGCTCAGGCTGCAGGGCTCTTGAATTGCGGTGTAGATGTTGGGACTTGGGCTGGTGCTTGACCTCTGACCCTATCTCTTGCAGGGTCCTAGAACCCATGCTCCTGCTGGAGTCCATAAATCTATAATGTGATTACATGGGCTTTCAGCTTGAAACCTGCAAGCATAAGTCTGCAGCTAGACTAGGCCAGTGAAGTTTATAATTGCAGTTTAGACATATCCACATTCCTTCTCAGTTATTTGATAAATGCTAAAAGGAAGGTCTCAGAGGACCACACTATTTTGGACCCAATTCAACAGAACACTTTAGCACATGCTGAAGTCAAGAAGACTTAAGCATATGTTTTGCTTAATGAGCATGAGATTACTCAGGTGCGGACAGTTAAGCATCTGCTTATGTGCTTTGGTGTACCTATGGGTATCATAAACTCTATGATTAAGTTTATTTGAGTTCTGCACTGAAGAAACCCAATAGCCAAACTAGCGTGAGAACATTAAAGATGTTTATAGTGAGAAGTAGTGGAGCAACTTCCTGTGATTAAATTCTGAGAACATAAGAATGGCCATAGGTCAGACCAAAGGTCCATCTAGCCCAATATCCTGTTTTCTGACAGTGGCCAATGCCAGATGTCCCAGAGGGAGTGAACACAACAGGTAATCATCAAGTGATCCTTCTCCTGTCATCCATTTCCAGTCCCTGACAGACAGAGTCCAGGGACAACATTTCTACCCATTCTGGCTAATAAGTATTGGTGGACCTAGCCTCCATGAATTTATCTAGTTCTTTTTTGAAGTCCTGGTCTTTACAGCATCCTCTGGAAAGGAGTTTCACAGGTTGACTGTGTGCTGCGTGGAAAAAAACCCTTCCTTTTGTTTGTTTAAAACCTGCTACCTGGTTACTTCTGGTGAGGCATATTGGAATGCAAACTTGAGCAGAGACATGAATGTTTAATTCTACAATTTAGTGAGGCCAAAGCTGTCAAATCTTGGTGCCTAACATTAGATGCCTAAGGCTATGTCTACCCAGCAGTGTTATTTCAGAATAACAGTCCGTATCTACACTACAAACAGTTATTTTGACATAATATCTAGCTGGAGGACTTCTTACTCTGATTCCTGTAACTCTAATTTTATGAGGAGTAAGGGAAGTCAGAGGAAGATTGCTCTTTCTCAGATTTTCTGCTGTGTAGACAGCACCAAAAGCCAAAATAAGCTATTTTGACTTAAGATATGCAACTTGAACTACATCAGTTGTGTAGCTTATTTCGGCTTTAGCCCTGCTGTGTAGATGTGCCCTAACTGTAAATAACAGCTTTTCTATTGATGTGTAATGTGCTCTGTGGAGGTGTGTTTACTAAAGCAAACTAATATGTTATATATTAATTGGCCCATGTAGACCTTGTTGAAACATGTCCTTTTTCATTTGCTTGTGAATAAAGTCTTAAGAGTTGCTTTATGAATAAGTACACGGCTTTTGCCCTTTCTCCAAGATAAATTGAATATTAACACACTGGGTTTGTTGACAGTACCCACATCCCTTTTTTTTGGTAATATTCACCGTAAGTTCAGAAATAACTATTCCCTCCCTCTGCTTCCCCCTTTCTCAGGGGGAGTGACTTGGATCACTCCTGAATTTTGGGTGAGTCCTGGCCTTCCAATTTCTAGGGAAGTTCCTGGTTTATCAAGTCACACTCCCTGTCTTGGTGGTTATGGTAGCATGTAGGCCTTCCGTAAGAAGCCCTGTTGAATTGAAACAATTTAACCCAATTTTGCTATCAGTTGTATGCATGCAGAAGTCTAATTGAAGTTACTGTGTACATTAATAGGTAAAATCTGATCTAGTGGCTTTGGGTAGTGATCTGTCTGCACTCCTCTGAAGTCCATTCAACACCTTTAACAAATTTGCAAAGACGTTATTTACTATCCTGTTGCAATAAATTGCATATGATGGGCAATAGGAACTGCAGACCTACTGACCAAATAAGCTGACAAAAATGCCAGGCTGTTTGGACAGGACCCACAGTTCAGACTGATTGTTGTAAACCAATTGAGGTAGCAATGAGCAGTGGCAATGCTCCATCTAGAAGGGAAACTCCTGGAAGGGATGTGAGCAAAGTGCCACGCTATCCCAAGACAACCAATGGGAAATAAAGAGGATAGATATTCGCTTGTCTTTAAATTGGAAATATAGAAAAATAAAACACTAGCTAAATGCTCTGGATTTACGTGATCTCATTTCATTACAGGAATTGCCAGATTCATTGAAAGAACAGACGCATTTGAAAGAATGGCATATACACAAAACACAGATACAAATCATTCCAGCCTACATTGCCTTGTTTCAAGAGCTGAAAGTCTTGGAGATATCAAATAACCAGATCACACATCTTCCAGTTGAGATTGGTATGTTGATTTGGATTTAATCAATTAATTTTATAGATAAATGTGCAAGTGCATGGTGGTCATTGGGCATGTAGCTACTTCTTGTAAATATAGCACTCCCAAAGTTTAGTGTCTCTACTGTTTTCAGCAAATAGTTATGTTGGATGGTTACGGTTTTTTCAATATTTTTATATCTGCTGAATCATCTATAGGTGTGGTATCCAAATAGCTAGTTGACCAGTTGAGTGTGGCTAATTGGTGTCCAACCAGTGTGCTTCAGAACTGGTTGGACACAATGGAGCGATGGTATTTTGTAGTCCAATCTGGCCAAAATATAAGAGAAAATAACAGTGACCTATTCTTAAGATGTTAGGCAGTCGCTTTTGGTGTCTATGGTGCCATTGTTTGTTTTTAATTTCTGTTTAAGAACGGACAGCATTTTTTGGCCCATTGCTTTTGTTATTGATAACCTAATAATGTCACAGAACGCCAGCCTGAAACACATATGTCACAGTACAATACAGGAATTAATAAATAAATAATTCAGATACTACCTATTGGGAAACATGCAATATATAATTTTGGATAAAACACCTCCTTTTATTCCATCTATTTCACCTCAGAAGTGTAATGGTCTATAAAAACAGTGCTGTTTACATTCTAGACAACTAGGGGTTTTGCTAAAGACAGAATTTAATACTTAACTCTTAGCCTAGATATTATTATTATTTTTAAGTTTTTAAACAAATTCTCACTATTGGCATTTTAGTATTTTACAATGGTCTCTCAAAACTGTATTTTCTTTTGAAAGATTCTATCACTTTGAGAGACCTTTGTCATACCTAGAATGAGGAACACTGCTGGAACTGGTACAACCAAAGCAAAAGAGACCCTCTGTGCAGCTGTAAACCACACTAACACAGCAGGGCTGGTGTCCTACTCATGTGCCTAGACCATAGGTGGGCAATAACACGGCTGCAGTTCACCAGGGTTAGCCCCTGGCAGGTTGTCATTTCTATGTTCACCTGCATGGCCTCAAGTACCAGTGATTGCAGCTCCCATTGGCTGCGGATTGCCGTTCTCAGCCAATGGGACTGGCGGGAAGCGGCATGAACTGGGACACTGCTTCCTGCAGCTCCAACTGGCTGGGAGCAGTGATCTATGGCAATGGGAGATAAGATTGCTGGTATTTGTGGGTATGTCTACACTAGCAGTGATCTATGGCAACGGGAGCTAAGATTGCTGGTATTTGTGGGTATGTCTACACTACAATGTTAGTTCGAACTAACGGACGTTAGTTCAAACTAACATTCATAGCCGCTACACTAGCGCTCCGCTAGTTCGAATTTGAATCGAACTAGCGGAGCGCTTAGTTCGAACTAGGAAAACTTCATTTTACGAGGATTAAGCCTAGTTCGAACTAGCTAGTTCGAATTAAGGGGTGTGTAGCCCCTTAATTCGAACTAGTGGGAGGCTAGCCCTCCCCAGGTTTCCCTGGTGGCCACTCTGGCCAACACCAG